ATGTCTTTATTGTTTGATTTCTTTAGGACCTTAGCATGTCCCACTTATATAAAAGATAGCCCTGGTCCTATATACCAGCCCTACAATGGAATTTTTCCTCACTCTTTCCTTCCACTCCACTGACATCAGGAAATTACAAATCAAAACTTTCTAGGTCTCCAGGATAGGAACAAAGGTGTGAAATAAAGATAGGAGATAATCTTTTTTCACAGAGCCTCTTTTTCCTGTTAGTTACAATACGTGGGATCTGTCCTAGGAGTTTGTTCTGTCTTCCATTGACGCCTAAAGATGACTATAGAAAAACTGTTAAGCCAACTCCACTAAACGTTTCCTCCTTTGGCCACAGTTGTGGTAGTCACAAGAGAGAACAGAAAGAGCTGATTTGGTTATCATCTTGAGTGAAGTTACTAATTTTAATCCTCTGGGAAATAGAGGTCAATGAATGCTTACTCCTTGTCCTCCAGTAATAACTGGTTAAATACTTCCCTACATCATACATGAACATGACCATAAAGATAGGATTCCGGAGCCTGGAAGACCACAAAAGCACAACAAGCCTCAGATAACACATGTTGTTTGGTTCTCAGTTTCCAACCAATTGAGTCCAGACTCCCAGGTACCAAAACAACTATTTATCTTTAGGCCTAGCATTATTTTTCAAAGAAAACAGCTTGAGAGTTGACTTCGAGGACATGCTACTGCAAGGCAAGTTTCATTTTTCGCTAAATTCATTGGCTTGCAATCTCTAGTTTCTATGCTGCAGCAGAGTGTGCTGTTTTCTAGGGTTTAAATCAGGTGGGAGCTCAGATCAACTTTAAGTTATGCTTTATTTGATCACCAAGAAAGCAAGACCAGCATATGTGCAATAAGGAAGATTGGAGAGAGATGTCCTACAATGATTAGGTTTCTCCCAATCTGTTGCTTTTGAAGTCCAAAATTCTGAAATTTTTCAGATGAAAGAAATTTGTTATCTGAGCTGGGATACTGTGGCCCACAATCAGAGTGCTATGAGCCTATAGAGGGAAAAAAAAATCCTGCCTCTGAACTCAGTTTGATTTAGGAAGTCTTACTTAGCAATCATGTTCAAATCACTAACTGAAGAAAAGAAATATTAGGTTTAAGCTGAAAGTGGATGAGCCTGGAAAGCAGCCATTAGTTATGGGTCAGTGATTACTAACTCCCTACAAATTGTTCTCTGTAATTAAAATGCTTTGTCACAGAATGACCCTTTCCCTTCTCCACCAAATGTACTCAGAGAGGTAGGTAAAACCTGTGACTACCTGATTATTGTTTCTTTCTCAAGGTGACACATTAGGTCTTCAATTTAAAAGTGACTTCAGTTTGAACACTGTCACAGAGATTTATATAAAATGACAGTCTTTTCCAGTCGAGCCTGAAAATCAGTCACTCAAATCATTATCAATCCAGCACTCACATAAATACATTAAATCTCTTTTTTAAGTCATTTAATTGACTTAATTCATTTGTAGAATACATGGATCAGAAAATTTTACAAAGAAAAAGGTAGTATAATTCATTTGTAGAATACATGGAGCAGAAAATTTTACAAAGAAAAAGGTAGTATAGTTCATTTGTAGAATACATGGAGCAGAAAATTTTACAAAGAAAAAAATATGATTTTAATCTTATGTTTCACATAAAGCCATTCATTTTAAAATACTTTTTAATGTACTTTCCTAAGGAGCTCTGGTAGCGTAGTGGTTACGAATTGGGCTATGAACCGCAAGGTCAGCAGTTCAAAACTACCAGCTGCTCTGTGGAAGAAAGATGAGGCTTTCTGCTCTCATAAAGATTTACAGCCTCGGAAAACCTGTACAGGGTCGCTATGGGTCGGAACCGACTCGACAGCACTTAACAACAACAAGTATATACGTTATTTAGACATTTGGAATAATAATACGTATGTCATTTTCTATGTTTCTATTACCTTGTAAGCACCTTTTCACATCATAAATTCTTGTTAAAAATCACTTTAATGTCTACTTGGATAGTATTTAATAACTGCATACCATGATTTGTACTTATTAAATAAGTACACTTTACATTTGGATTATTTTCCTTTTTTCCCCAATCTTAAAATAGTTGTGAAATACAAGCTATCTGCATAGTTTTGTCCAAGTTTTTAATCTAGAATAAAGAGTCTTGGACTAGGGAACATGACCAATTACAAAACCCTTAATATATAAAGTCAAGTTGTTTTCCAGATGATTTTTTATCAGAACACACACATGAGCATTGGCTAGCATAACTCATAAATCTTTGACAATTTGGCAGATAATAGTACTTTATATTTTTAAATTGTATTTCCTTGATGAGTTAATGAAATAGAGGATATTTCACATGTTTAATATTTTTCTAATGATTACCATTTCCATAATTTCTTCTTGTTTTAATGATGTGAGTCAATGTCTTCATAATTTATGAATGCTATTTCTAGAGTAACAGTTATATATCACACTTGTTGCAAATATTTTTATTTGGCAATTCATGTTTGTATGTGGAATAGCCCATCACTTTTGTCCTATGTTTTATATTACTGTATTTTTGCTTAATATGCTCTTCCCCATCCAGAGGTCAGATATTTATCTATCATTTTACTTTTCTGGGAGCAGATTTTTGTTTTATTTTAAGGCTTTAATACATGAAATTCTCTTTTTTTTCTCTTTGTTTTCCTTTCTATTTTTTGCTGATGGCATGAAAAGAAGACTCACCTCGTTTAGAAAAATGACTATAAGTTAATTTTTTTCAATGTATTACCCTAGTTAGCAATACATAGTACTTTTGGGGAAGCATGATGGCTTTGTAGGAAAAGCACTGAATGGTGAATTACATTGTTGATGGTTCAAGCACATCAACCTCAGCAAGAGAAAGATGAGAGTTTCTGCTCCCCCAAAGACTGACTGCCTCAAAAACCCTACACAGGGTCGTTATGAGTTGGAATGTATTCACTAGTAACTTAGCAACAACAAAAATATTGTTTCCAATATTTTTTGAATTTAGGTCTGTAGGGGATTTGAATAGATTTAATTCTTAATGAATTTATCTGTGTTCATCAGTTTTATTAGCACTTTTGAATACCAAAGACTTTTGAATTTATTTATCAAGTACTCATTCCATTGTCTGGTGTATTCATTTCTGAATTCCAACTTTTGTCAAGCATAGCTGTTGTTTTAATAATTTTTACAATTGAGCACTTAGTTCATTTATTTTCTATCTTAATATTATGACAAGCAAATATTTTAAATATAAATATTCTATATTTCACATTCTCTTAAGTGATCTTTTTTTTTATAGTAATTTGAAGTATAGGGAAAGCATGCAAAGCACTGCATTCACTGATTATTGTTAAATGCTTCTGAGTCAGTTCTACTCAGAGTGCCCAGTGGAGGGTTGCTGAGAAGTGTCTCATGGCTTCAACTGCCAACCTCTAAGTCAGCAGTCTAGTATTTACCCTACAAGCCATACCAGGGCTCCACATTAAATGGCTAGTAAACATGCTATATATGGGCCTTAGTCTTATTAAGTCTGAACCTTTTCATACATATACAAACCAAAATTGAAAACAGTTGCCGACAAATTGATTCTTCTAAAATGAGAAAAAACAAAAAAAGGGAACAGAGGAATTGAAGAATATTATTATCGCTTACATTATAGTTTGTATACTAAAGTCAAAAATGCATACCTTTCCAAATTTTAAGGTGAGGAAATAATGCTTTTGTTTCCTTACTTTAAAAGTATCTGTTTTCTGGGAAGATCTAGAGGATATTTCATAATCTCCATTAAATTGAATTTCTATTTGTAAAAGACTCCTGAAATCTAAATATGACAAAATATCCACCAAATAGTGAGTTATACAAATTCCGAATAGATGTGGGCATTTTTCATTGCACCATGCTGTCTACTTATAGCCCTTTTTCAGAAGTGTGTGATAGAAAGAAGAAAAAAAAAAGTCATGATAGTTTTACGTGATTCTGTTTGGATGTAAATCTGCCACAGTGTGTCCTACTGTTGTCTCAAATATTCATTCAATTCATTTTTTTCTGAAATATGACTAAATCTTCCCTAATTTCTAATTGTACTCACATGATATTTTGTACTCACCCTAAGACAAGTTAAACATAACAAGAATAACAAAGTCCACCACTTTGCTTTATCGGCATGAGTGACTAGAGAAGAAACTAGTGAGAGGGCTCTCCCAAATTCAAACTTCCGCTTCTCTTTATGGGTCTTTTTCTTCCCATTTTCTAACGGAGAAAATACTATGTCAGTAATAGGGAGAGGATCAGCCCACATACAGTTATAAGAAAGGTGCTGTACATATCAACAGTCATAAACCATGATTGTGCATATGAGTGTCTCTGCATGTATTTGTACATGAGTGTGTGTGAGTTCATGAATGAAGCAAGGGTGGAGGTATGTTTGTCAATGAGTATATTTATCAATATGAGTGTGTATGTGTGTGTGTATGTGTATGAGTGAGTATGTTTGTGAGTGAACTTGCATATGTGGGGGTGTAACTTTATGTGTGTACATGGGTGAGTGTGTGAATGTATGTGACTATCGATACGGGTGTTTGTGTGAGTGTGTATATGTGTCAGTGAATGAGTATGTACATAAATGAGTGTTTTGTGTACATGTGATTACTTTGTGTAAAGTGAATTATGTGAGTGTGGGGAGGTGTATGTAGGCATGGGTGTATACAGATGTAAGTATGTACGTGAGTGGGTGTATTTGTGTATGTGGTGGTGAAGACGCTGTATGTATGTGTGTCCATATATGTGTGTAGAAGAGGACTGCATGCTCTTTATGTGGCCCAAAACATAACTCAGCTAAGCTTATCTGCTCCGGTTTTCCATCTTTCTTACAGGAAACAAATAATTATGACTGAAATTTTCAGCTAAATCAAAATTTATCTACATCATTGCAATGTCATGTACTAGTTGCACATAAGTCAACCATCTAAACGCCACACTGGATTCATGAAGCCAGTGAACAACGTGACAGAATTCATCCTGCTTGGTTTAACACAGAACCCAGATGTGCAAAAAATCTTGTTTGCTGTGTTCACAATCATCTACCTCCTCACCCTGGCAGGCAACCTGCTCATTGTAGTGACCATCACCATCAGCCCAACACTTGGCTCCCCCATGTATTTTTTTCTGTCTTTCCTGTCCTTCATAGATGGCTGCTGCTCTTCTACTATGGCCCCCAAAATGATTGTTGACTTACTAGCTGAAAAGAAAACCATTTCCTTCAGTGGGTGCATGACTCAGCTCTTTGCAGAGCATTTCTTTGGAGGAGTGGAGATCATCCTACTCACAGTGATGGCCTATGACCGCTATGTGGCCATCTGCAAGCCCTTACACTACCTGATCACAATGAACTGGCGGGTATGTGGCCTTCTGGTGGCTCTGGCTTGGGCTGGGGGATTTCTTCATGGTCTGATTCAAGTTCTTTTTATGGTCTGGTTGCCCTTCTGTGGCCCAAATGTTATTGATCATTTCATCTGTGATCTCTTTCCTCTGCTAAAACTCGCCTGCACTGACACATACATATTTGGATTCTTTGTTGCTGCTAACAGTGGACTGATGTGTGTACTCATTTTCTCTATTCTTATTACCTCTTATGTCCTCATCCTTCGCTCCCTAAGAACCCAAAGCTCTGAAGGACAGAGAAAGGCTCTTTCTACCTGTGTTTCCCATATTACTGTAATCATCTTATTCTTTATACCCTGTATATTTGTGTACTTTCGACCCATGATCACCCTCTCCATTGATAAAGCAGTGACTATATTTTATACTCTGATCACTCCCATGTTAAACCCTTTAATCTACACCCTCAGAAATGCTGAGGTAAAAAATGCAATGAGGAAGCTCTGGAGCCACACAGTGATTTTAGGTAAAAAATCAGATGAATAGAGAAGATAAAAGCAAAATCTATTTATATTTAAGAACAAGTGTGACTAATGTACAGGACAATGGTCTTGAAATCAGGATTTGTAATGTATTATATTCTCATGTATCTTAGTCCTCAAACAGACATCTTGCTCATAAACACTTTAAAGAGGTCTTGTGCAGCATATTTGCCTAATGCATACGTCATTTGATTTCTTGACTGCTGTTTCCATGAGTGTTGATTGTGGATCCAAGCAAAATGAAGTCTTTATTGCAATCACCTCCCCCATAATGCAATGTGATGTGGAAAGCTCTGATCTGATATCATTATCCTATGTGTTGAACAAACAAATCTTTTTTTATAAGAAGTACTGTCAGAATGTTCCTTAGAAGGAAAGATAGAAAGACGTTGTCTCATGTACTCTGGACATGTTATCAAGAGGCACCAATCCTTGGGCAAAGATGTTATTTTTGGTAAAGTAGAGAGACAGAAAAAAAAAAAAAAAGAAGAAGAAGAAGAAGACGTCTTTTACTGAGATGATGGGAACAAACAGGAATGGTTGTTAGAATGGCAAAGGACAAGGCCATGATTTGTTCTATTGTACATAGGGTCACTATGAGTAGGAACCAAATCAACAGCACCTAACAATATTTTTCTGACAAGTAAAAGTCAAGGTATTTTGTTGATATCAAAGGAACATTTGTGGGAAAAGGATTATAGGTAATTGTTGAAAAACTGCAATATATACTGAAACAATGAGAAGACAGAGGAAACTGTCTAGAACAGTCAGAAAATTTGCTCAAGAAGCACTGAAGACCAGCTCACACTGTGTTTTTTGTTTTTGTTTTTGTTAAGTACCACCAACTCATAGTAATTCAGTACAGGGTTTCCAAGGAGCAGCTGGTGGGTTTGAACTATTGACCTTGTGGTTCACAGTCCAGTGCTGATCCTACAGCACCACACCAGGACTTGATAATTTTGTTGTTGTTGTTACTCTGTATCATATGAGTCATCTGTCAGTTTGTCATGCAGTGGTGGTTTGCATGTTGCTATGATGCTGAAAGCTATGTCACCGATATTTTAAATACCAGCAGATCACCATGGTGGACAGGTTTCAGTAAAAATTCTAGACTAAGATAGGTTAGGAATAAGGAGAGGAGGACTACTTCTGAAGACCTTATGCAAAGCAGCAAAACATTTTCAGATATAGTGATGAAAGTTGACAACATTATGAATGGCAGCAGAACAATATCAGATATGAAAACTGAAGATGAGCATCTCAGGTTGGAAGGCACATATAATATGACTGGGGAAGAACAGCATCCTCAAAGTCGAGTTGACCATGATGTGACTAGAGCCCAACTTTTAGGATCTACATTTGCTGATTGGGCCCAATTCAAAATGAGGGGGAAAAAAACAGTTGCAAATATCTATTAATAATTATAACATGGAATGTATGAAGAATGAATCAAGAAAAATTGGAATTGTAAAAAATTAAATGTAACACATAAAGACATATCCTAGGCATTAGTGAACTGAAATGGGCTGGTATTAACCATTTTGAATCTGGTGATGATTGCTGGGAACAGCAAATTCCAGAGAAATAGTATCATATTCATTATGAAAAGAAAATTCAAGATCTATTTCAAAATACTAAGCTGTCTATTATAGGATAATAGCTATACAGCTACAAGGGAGACTAGTTGATACAACTATTATTCAAATTTTTTACCAACTACTAAAGTCAATGATGATGAAATTGAAGAATCTATCAACTTCTTCAATCTGCAATTGATCAAACATGGATCTCTTCCAATCAGTTGAAAGATTCATATAAAGAGAGTTGACCCAACAGAATGTAGAAGTAATTGAACATCAGCGTAGTGGTTATGAATCGGGCTGTGAATCGCAAGGTCAGCAGTTTGAAAATACCAGCTGCTCCGCAGGAGAAAGTTGAGGCTTTCTACTCCCGTGAAGATTTACAGCATCAGAAACCCTGTTCAGGGTCTCTATGGGTCAGAACCGACTCGATGGCACTTAACAACAATAACAATACCACATACAAATAATGTTTTCTGAAGATAATTTTTTAAAATGGTTTCAGCAGTACATTGACAGGGAACTGCCAAAAATTCAAGTTAGTTTCAGAACAGGATGTGGAACTTGAGATATCATTATTGAACTCAGATAGCGCTTGACTGAAAGCAGAGGATACCAGACTGTGCAAAGGCTTTCAACTGTGTGGATAATGACAAAGTATGGATAACATTGTAAAGGATGAGTATTCCAGAACATGTCATTGTGATCATGAAGAATCTGCACATAGATTACTCAACAATCCAGGTTGGTTTCTACATATAGACCTTCCATTTTAGTGTCTATCATCAAATCTTGCTACATCAGGGAGAGAGAATTCTGGAGAGTAGTACACTGGCTCCTAAATATTTCATACTGAATGTAACACATATCACTTCTGGGAGCTAGTCACATGATCCTATACAAGTGAACTGGAAAATATGGTAGGAACACATGGATATTTGGTGATCTGCAAATGAGTTGGCCATAACTGATCTCTCAGTTTGAAAAGCATTGTTTATAAATGACTGGATTCATCTTTTAGTGCTCAATAGGTGACACAAATTTTTAAGCACTAGACTATTAATAAAAGTTTGGATATTTTAATCCATCTAGAATCTTGGAAAAAAGACCTAGTGATATACTTCTGGAAAATCATTGAAAACCCTATGCACGGGTCTACTTTGAAACACATGGGGGTAGCCATTAGTTGAAATTGACTCCATGACAACTGGTTCTTTTTATTACATATTTTATATAAGATACAGTAGAGTCATGATATCAGTTTGAGGTCTAAGATAAACCTGGACCAAGCCATGGTATTTTCAATTACCTCATATGCATTTTACAGTTGGACAATGAAAAAGGAAGACCGTAGAAGAAATGATGCATTTGCGTTATGGTGTTGGAGGAGAATATTAAAAGTATCATGCACTGCTGGAAGAACAAACCAATCTATTGTGGAAGAAAAACATCAACAATGCTCCTTAGAAGCCAGAATGGTGAGAATTCATCTCTCATACTTCAGACATATTATCAGGAGGGACCAGTCCCATAAGAAGGGCATCATGCTTGGTAAATTGGAGGGTCAGCACAAAAAGAGGAAGACCCCCAACAAGATGAATAGAAACAGTGACAGCAGCAATGGTCTCATACATAGGCTAGTGGTTTTAAAGCCAGGATATGTGGACTGATATATTTTGTTCTCTTTGCTGTATGAATCGCTAATGAATCCTCTTTTAAAATATATCAATATATGATTAAATGATTACTTAAATATCTTCCAATTAAAAACTTCTTTTCATTTACAAATTATTGGTTCTAGGGACATTGTTTACTGACATAAAAATGTTTCCATATATTAGAAATCCGCAGTATTTTGTATTCAGCAAAGCAACTCTATGCAGAGTTTCAGGTATAAATTATATAATCAATGTTGTTGTTGTTGTTGTAAAGTGCCATCGAGTCAGTCCCATACATAGTGAACCTGTGTAAGATTTCCAAGAAGCGCTGGTAAGTTTGAACCACCAATTTGGTGGTTCAAAATGACCTTGTGGTCCAGTGCTTTATCCCACAGTGCCATACCAGGATTCCTTATAACCAATTTTTTTTGCAATGAGACACAACCCATACAGAACGCTGTGTTCTTTGATGTTCATCAGTAAGTATTTAAAGTCCTCTTCGCTTTCAGCAAGCAAGGTGATATCATCTGCATATTGTAAATTGTTAGTGAATCTTCCCCCAATCCTGATGCCACGTTTTTCTTCATGAAATTCAGCTTCTCTCATTACTTGTTCAGCATACAGATTGAATAAGTATGGTGAAAGAATACAACCCTGGCACACACCTTTCCTGATTTTAAACCATTCAGTGTTACCCTTGTTCTGTTCAAACAACTGCCTCTTGGTCTATGTACAGATTCTTCATGAGCACAATTAAGTGTTCTGGAATACTCATACTTTGCAATTTTGTCCATAACTTGTCACAATCCACACAATTGTAAGCCTTTGCATAGTCAATAAAGCATAGGTGAACATCTTTCTGGTATTCTCTGCTTTCAGACAAGCTCCAGCTGACATCAGCAATGATATCTCTCATTCCACGTCCTATTCTGAACCTGGCTTACACCTCTGGGAGTTCTGTCAGTGTATGGTTGCAGCCATTTTTGTATTAACATTAGCAAGATTTTACTTGCATGCAATATTAATGATATGGTCCTATGATTTCTGTATTCCATTGGGTCAACTCTCTTGAGAATGGACACAAATATGAATCTTTTCCAGTCAGTTGGCCAGGTAGTTGTCTTCCAAATTTCTTGGCATAGATGAGTGAGTACCTACAATGTTGCATAAGTTTGCTGGAAGATTTCAATTTGTATTCCATCAATTCTCCATGTCTCGTTCTTTGCCGATGGCTTCAATCAATACACCTCGGACTTCTTCCTTCAGTATTATTGGCTCTTGATCATATGTTACCTCTTGAAATGATTGAACATCGATCATTTCTTTTTAATACAGTAACTCTTGAGTATTACTTCCATCTACTTTTGATGCTTTCTCCATCATTCAATATTTGCCCATGTTGTTGTTGTTGTTAAGTGCTGTGGAATTAGTTCTGATTCATAGCTACCCTGCATAGAGTTTCTGAAGAGCAACTGGAAAGTTTAAACTGCTGACTTTGCAGTCCAAACTGACCTTGCAGTCCAGGACATTAACCCACAACACCACATCAGGATTCCATTTTTCCCATAGAATCTTTCAGTATTGCAAGTCGAAGCTTGCATTTTTTCTTCAGTTCCTTCAGCTTGAGAAATTTTGAGCATGTTCTTCCATTTTGGTCTTCTAACACTAGATCTTTTCAAATTTCATTATAATATTTTACTTTGTCTTCTTGAGCTGACTTTTGAAACTTTCTGCCCAGCTCTTTTACCTTCTCAATTCTTCCACTT